GGGCGTGGAGTTTTTTTTTTTTTTTTTTAATTTTATTTATTTTTGACAAAGAGAGAGAGCACAAGGAGAGGAAGCAGCAGGGAGAGGCAGAGGGAGAAGCAGACTCCCTGCGGGGCTCAATCCCAGGACCCTGAGATCATGACCTGAGCTGAAGGCAGACGCTTAACCGTCTTGAGCCACCCAGGCGCCCCATGGGCGTGCAGTTTTCTTAAGATTCTTTCTCTCCCTGCTCCCCTGCCATCTCTCGTGTGTGCATGCATGCTCGTTCTCAAAAAAAAAGAATGATCTCTATTTTTTATTTTTTTTAAAGATTTTTATTTATTTATTTGACAGAGAGAGAGACAGACACAGAGAGAGCACAAGCAGGGGGAGCAGTAGAGGAGAGGGAGAAACAGGCTCTCCACTGAGCAGGGAGCTAGATGTAGGTAGGGCTCGATCCCAGTACCCTGGGATCATGACCTGAGCCAAAAGGTAGACACTTAACCTACTGAACCACCCAGGTGCCCCAAGAATGATCTATATTTAAATTGAAAAAAGAAATCCGTGCTATATTAAGTGATAAAAATACGTTTATAGTACAATTTGATTACATTTCTAAAATATGTCCTGATATACATTATAGAAAATTAAATTAATTTAATAAAATTAGTGGTTATCTTCAGAAAAACATTTTTTTTTTTAAGATTTTTAAGTAATCTCTACACCCAACGTGGGGCTCCAACTCACAGCTCCGAGATCAAGAGTTGCATGCTTCACCAACTGAGCCAGCCAGATGTCCCTGGAGAAACTTCTAAAGTAAAATTTGAAAAACCTCTTCTGACTTTCCAACCTCTCTACTCTTCAAGCTCTTCCTCTTCCAGCATCCCTTAAATGTACCTTTCTCCCACTCATACCAACGCCATAAAGTAGTGACTGCGTGTCTATTAACACCTACATGGTGATGATCTCCTAATCCCTATCAAGCCTAAACTTTTCTTAGTCTCATATTCACATTTTTGCATATGTGCTGCACACTCCTCAAAGTCAATATATTAACAAACTCTATTTCCTATTTCCATTAAAAGTTTCCTCATTCACTTGGTCTCTCCAAGCTGGCAAACTCCGTCATCTTTGAAAGCTACCCCTCAAACATCTGGTGGTCAAATCCTGCCTACAATCTACTTCTGAAATTTCTCCCTCATTCATCCCTTCCTTTCATCTCACTGCCATTTTCAGAGCTAAGAGCTAAGGCAGGTCTGGCCATTTCTGACTTAGACTATAAAGCCAAACAAACATTTCTTAAGTACCCATTAACATTTCTTAAATACACATTATATGCCATACACAGTAAAAGGAGCTGAGAATATAAAGATTAATGAAGCAAAGTACTACCATCAGGCTAATTTTGAGGCAGAGAGATGGGGGAAGATAATACAATGTGACAAGTTTTATAATTAGAGCAAAATCCACAAGATGTCAATCTCTTTCTTATCTGATCTAATCTTACAACTACCTGAATAATCTTTCTATCTAGAATAGAAACCAGATCATGTCACTCTTCTGTTGTAAAACCCTTGATGATTCTACTCCACTGCCTACAGGATAAAGTCCAAATGCTTTAATACCATCCAAACACTTAACAATCTGGCCCCAACCTACCTAAATAGAGTCATCTATGACTTTTTTACTTCACATCCATTAACCCAGTCATGTTGCTGGGTTAACTAGTTGCTACTCTGATAATGTTTTGTGCTCCTACTGCTGGAGAGCCCTTCTTCCTTGTGCCCACCAGTGGAAGTCTTGTCCTATTCTCAAATAATACTTCCTTTCTGAAACCTCTATTAACTGCTGCCAAAGCAGTTTTTAATATGATCTATTATAATACTTATCACTCCATGTTATAATTTGTTTTTTTCTTTCTACCAGTAGACTCTGAGACAGATTCTTAAGGACGGAAACTACATTTTGTTATTCTTTCTATCTTTCCCAAAGTCTAGTAAAATAGTAATTATTCAAGAAATGTTTGTTAAGGGGTGCCTGGGTGGCTCAGTCGTTAAGTGTCTGCCTTCGGCTCAGGTCATGATCCCAGCGTCCTGGGATCGAGCCCCACATCGGGCTCCCTGCTCCACAGGAAGCCTGCTTCTCCCTCTACCACTCCTCCTGCTTGTGTTCCTTCTCTGGCTTTGTCTCTCTCTGTCAAGTAAATAAATAAAATCTTAAAGAGAAAGAAAGAAATGTTTGTTAAGGGGCGCCTGGGTGGCTCAGTCGTTAAGCGTCTGCCTTCTGCTCAGGTCATGATCCCAGAGTCCTGGGATCAAGCGCCACATCGGGCTCCCTGTTCAGCGGGGAGCCTGCTTCTCCCTCTCCCCTCTGCTCCTGCTCTCTCTCTCACTCTCTCTCAAATAAATAATAAATAAAATCTTAAAAAAAAAAAAAAGAAATGTTTGTTAAATGAATGATGGGGTAGAAACAGATTTGCAGAGAACCAAAATTTACTAACATTGCATTATTTTCTTTGTTTCTCTATCTGGAAACCAGAGGTCTCCCTAAATCCAGTGGTACTAAGGCCACTACCTACCACCAGGAGCCTGAAGGAGGCTCTGTTTTTTTCTCTCTCTTTCTATTCATCTGGCTATCTATCTATCCATCCCATGGATTAACAACAGTAAATAACACAGATAGAGTCCCCACCCTCCAAGGGAGTTATATTCAAGTAAGGAGAGACAATTAACAGGTAAACAAACATGCAAAAATCATTTCAGGTAGTGATCAATGTGGTGACTAAAATAGTGTTTGATGGGATAGAATTTAGCTAGTGGAGAAATGTGCCATTTTAAATGAAGGTAGGGGAGAAATCACTGAAGGTTTCTCTGAGAAGATAACAAAAGGTAAAGCCTAAAGGATGAGAAGCAACTACCTAAGCAAAATTTGGGGGAAGAATTCTGCAGCAGAAGGAACTTTAAATGCCAAAGCTCTGAAGCAGAAATGCATCTGGCTGTTTGAGGGGCAGAGAAACAGTGTGGCTAGAGAAAGAAACGAATGTGGAGAAGAAAGCATGGCTTTGTAGGTGGTAGCCTTGGTGAAGACCCATCTGCACCTGCCTTGAGTTCAGAATTTCTAGTTTTTATCTTCTGTTGTCTGCACAATCTCCTACTTACTGATATCACAGGCAAAGAGCAGTGGAATGGAGTATATAGCATACCCTGTTGTTAGGAAGATGTCAAATGATTCTGGAAGTACCTTTTCTGGTTTTTGTTGATAAAAAGTATTCCTAGATACAATGTCATGACAATATGGTCCCAGGGATAATGAAAACCTGGTAAGTACACAAGACTAAAACCACTTCAAAAGAAAGGTCTTTCTACTGACTACAAGGCAAGCCAAAATGAGAACTCCCAAAATTATCCTAAATTCATATAAGGAAATAAAACACAACACTCTACTACTCTGAAATACGTATGGGCTACAAATTTATCCTTTTAACTCAGTAAGTTTTTCTATTCCTATGTAAACTTAAAGATCATCTAATACAAATCTAGACTTAAGTAATTAAACAAGACAGATTTCCAGTTTTCACTGACTAAAGTTGTTCTTTACCTTTAGAGAAATCAAACAATTTTATGATGTTCTGAGAAAGCAAGAATTTATATGCATCAAACTGCCTCTCAGTAGTAATTCTGTGGATGATTATGTCATAATCTATTTAATTCAAGTTACTACTGTGATGTTAGAGCGAAGTCAACCCATTACATAAATGAATATTCACGAAACTAGCTGCTAAAACAACTCAGTAGTTGCTAGGAACTCAAGCAGTGTGAAATTACACATCTTACTCCTCTTCTCAGTAGCATCTGCTAGATTTGCTAACTCGAACATCACTAAATATAAAGAGCCTTCCATTACACTAGTCAGGTCTTAAAATTCCAGGCTACTGGCCTTCTACCAGTAAAAATAAATTCATACTCAGCATCCTTAAATTCAACTGTGCACTCAGTGATCTCTCCCTAGTGTAGTGATGCTTCCCTGATTCTCTCTATAAGGGACCAGAGACAACATTTTTTCCTTCTTCTTTTGAAGATCAGAAATAGCAGAGGTGACAAGCAATAATCATCTTACCCTCCCACACTCCTGTTCCCCCAAGGGCCAGAGTCTCTTACAATGGGTCTTCATAATAATCCATACCCCTAACAGCTATGGAGAAAAAGCAAACACTTTAGCCTAAAAGGGAACCTCTTCACATTCTCCAAGCTGATGTCCAACTTCATATAAGATCTTTCATTTTCTCTTCCCAATTCATCTAGGGAGGGCCACTGAAAAATTTATAAATACCTACTGTATCTACTTCCCAATTTCACATCTTCAAACTGGTTTTTGTCATTTTTCATCATACTCATAAATTCATACTTGAAATTAAAAAATCCATTTTCTTGGTTGGGAAATAAAATTGCATAATTTCTCCCTGGAGTTCTAGATCAATCCTGATGTTGGTTATTTCCAGGAAGAAATGCAAACATAGTATCAGTTGGAAAGCCTCTCTGAACGGGATGTACATCCTTAAAGACTAAGTCTGGGTATTACTCAGTAAGGATTTACCCCTTATAAGGGGTAGAGTCTGAATTAAAGCAAGGCCTTACTCCCTCCTTACAGTGTGGTTCAAGAACCAACAATATCTAGGTCACTTGAAGTTTGTTAAAAAGAATTTAAGGCTCTACCTCTCAGACCAACGAAATCAGAATTTTCATTTTATTGCTATCTGTATGCAGCTCTCCCTACATCATAAAATCTCAGAATTGGTGGTAAATTTAAAAGCCTATCATACACAAACAGAGATGAACCTTGGATACAATTATAATTGGTAGTGACTACAGTCCCCTTCACAAATTCTTTAGTTCTTATAATAACAAGTCCTCCTTAAGATAATGACTAATTGAAATTATAATTGCTTGTTCTAAAATACACCAAAGCTAATTACAGCTGTTGTTGTTGTTGTTGGAAGCCACTGATATAACCAAAGTCCTTACCTAATCTGAGCTCTCCGAAGTTCCCACACCCTATCTTCTTGCCAACCCTGAAGTTGGGTCCCACCATAAGAACCCCAGAGGATGTTGAGGAGCCAGAAGGTCGGGGACAGTGGGTACTCCTTTGTGCCATGGGTTTAGTTGTCCGTTGTCTTTCATCCTTCTCCCTACTAGGATGGTCCATGATCCTACACGACAGAGTCTCTGCACAAGTAGCCTCAGTCCGTATATTTCTCTTCGATACAAAACTACATCCAAATAAACCGTAGTCAGAGAAAATTAAGGAGATCTTTTGGCACCATATTTATGTTTCTAATGTATCTCCAGGAGATGAAAAATCATTGATTTGTTCTTGTAGGACATGTAGTCTGTGGATCTCAAGCATAGGAGGGTATTTTGTAACCTAGGTAAAAATCAAGAAAACATACAGTTAAAAATTAAATTTTAAAACAAATTCAGAAAGTTACCACTAATTAGAATGGATCCTATCCAAAAATGAACAAAGTGGATAGCTTCCTGAAATGGGTTTTGGTTTTATATTCTCCAACAGTTTAGCCATCTGGACTAGTTATTCATCTGGTAACATAAGCTCAGTAGGCTGCAGACCATAGCAGCTAAGGGAACATGCATGCCTTTAACATAAAATGCTATCTTTGGGGTGCCTAGGGGGCTCAGTCGGTTAAGCATCCAACTCTTGATCTCAGGGTCATGAGTTCAAATCCTCTGTTGGCCTCCACACTGGGAGTGGAACCTTCTTACATACATACATACATACATATATACATACATAAATAAATGCTATCTTCTAGTACTGGACATACGACCCGCAAGAAAGCCATCTGCTCCCTTTCTCATCACTGGCCAACAGAAAGATACAGTGGGGTAGGTCTAGTTAAATAAATTGAGGACATTTAAAAGCTCTTCCTTCAACTTTGTATAGAACCTATCATAAATGAAGTTACTTACTGTCCCCCCCCCATCCCCACCATTTATCAAGCACTGACAGCAACCACACAATCCAAAACAAGTTACTGGTGACACAGACTTATAGAAAAGACTTCCAAAACCCTAGTAGTATTAAGCAGTCCTAGACTAAAGCTTTGCAATTGTATCTAACATCCTCCAATTATCTTTGTTGTTTACTAAAAGTCCTTCAGACAGTATTAATAAGAGAAGGGAAATAAAACTTAACATGTTTTAGATAGTTCTGTCTTAACTGGTGCAGGTATGTGTCTATGTATGAGAAACTGTCAGGCTATACTTTATTCCCTTATCTTATAAATTTCTTTGAAGACAGGAAAAAGATGGATCCTAGCCTATCCAGACAATTATGAGCTACTCAACTAACTCCCAAATTTTCATAAATTATCACTAGTGTAATAGTTTCATTTATAAGATTTGGAAAACTGTAATACCTTATCTATTGCTCTTCATATTTTTCATATGTGTTCACTCTAACAGATGGAGGTTATTTTCATGCTTGTCATTAACTTTCTCCATTACGCTTAAACTCATGAAACATTAGGTGGAGTAATCATGTACAGCCCACATTATCCATGTATACTTGCATGTATGTATAGAAAAACATACAGTACTTGCCAGGTTAAAACGCTGCAGAAAGTCAAAAATCGTGTTCAGCTGGGAAAAGGATGTTTTTAACACCTGCTTGTAGCCCAGAAGAATGACATTAACTCCCACAAACATGGAAAAAACTTACATTTAAGATACCACTTTTCTAATCTATGCATGCAACATGAGCATGGTCTAATCTGTAATTATGAAAGATGAATAATATTTAATACTACTTTTATATGGCACCTCTCATTTAAGAAATCAAACTAATTGAACAATTAAAATTTTCAAAATCCTATTTATCACCACCCATTGCTCAAAACTATTTTCTACTTCCCCACTGCAAACTTTTTAGCTTGTCATTTGAGTCCCTTCAATATTAAACTCCCTATTTAAATTCTTGTTTTAAAAAGTTACTACATGGGGTGCCTGGGTGGCTCAGTTGTTAAGCATCTGCCTTTGGCTCAGGTCATGATCCCAGGGTGCTGGGATCAAGCCCCGCATCGGGCTCCCTGCTCAGCGGGAAGCCTGCTTCTCCCTCTCCCGCTCCCCCATTTGTGTTCCTTCTCTCGCTTTGTCTCTCTCTGTCAAATAAATAAAATCTTAAAAAAAAAAAAAGTTACTACAGTGCTCGCTTCAGCAGCACATATACTAAAAAAAAAAAAGTTACTACATAAACACAAGGAGCATCCATTGTTAACCCTTATACCTAGAATGGCCTCTTCTGTCTTAAAGGCCTGACTCACATCCTATGTCCCTTGTGAAACCTTTTATAACCAACTCATTATTAATACTTGGACCACCACTGTGTATACTATGTATATATTTGCCACTTAACATGTACCAGATTATATTGATATCTACTCTAATATTCAATTTGATTATAAGCCTTTGAAGTTAGGGATCTTGTCATATCTCCTTTAGTTTCTTGCATATAAATGGTACTTAATAAATACTGAGTAACAATATGATGGTCTTGCTTAACAGAAAACAGATTTTCAATGACATAACCAAAAATTTACACAAAATAGTACAAGAGAATCCTGATTAACCCTAAACACTCAGAACTCATCTAGAAAGAAGCTAGTATTGGGTGCCTGGGTGGCTCAGTTGGTTAAGCGACTGCCTTCAGCTCAGGTCATCATCCTGGAGTCCCAGGATCGAGTCCCGCATCGGGCTCCCTGCTCAGCAGAGAGTCTGCTTCTCCCTCTGACCCTCCCCCGTCTCATGCTCTCTCTCTCTCTATCTCATTCTCTCTCTCAAATAAATAAATAAAATCTTTAAAAAAAAAAAAAAGAATTAAAAAAAAGAAAGAAGCTAGTATTATTTCAATTCATTAGTGTTAGGACAGGATAGCTAGGATTTCTATTTCACAAGGATATTAAATGATTTATTTTCAGTTAGTAGCAGATAACATATGAGAAAGTTAGCTCAAGAACCAGGTCAAATGGGGGCGCCTGGGTGCCTCAGTCGGTTAAGCGTCTGCCTTCAGCTCAGGTCATGATCCTGAGGTTCTGGGATTGAGTCCATATATATATGGGCTCCCTGTTCCACGGGGAGTCGGCTTCTCCCTCTGCCTCTGCCTTTCTCCCTCTCTATCTCTCTCAGTCTCTCATGAATAAATAAAATCTTAAAAAAAAAAAGAACCAGGTCAAATAGAACATCCAAGGTAAACATTAAGTTATACTTTATTTTTAAAAAATGACTTCCAAAGATAGCAGTAAAATACAAACTATAAGATTTGTCCACTTTTTCTTTTTTACAATAAAAAAAGGGGAGCAGAGGGGCACCTGGGTGGCTCAGCTGTTAAGCGTCTGCCTTCAGCTCAGGTCATGATCCCAGGGTCCTGGGATCGAGCCCTGCATCAGACTCCCTGCTCAGGGAGGAGCCTGCTTCTCCCTCTCCCACTCCCCCTACTTGTGTTCCCTCTCTCGCTTTGTCTCTCTCTGTCAAATAAATAAATAAAATCTTTAAAAGGGGGGGGAGGGGAATTCCACTTTTTTGTACCATAGACAAAAATAAACTCAAAACAGATTAAAGATCTAAATGTAAGATATGAAACCAGAGAACTCCTAAGAACAAACAAACAAACAAATACACACACAGACACATACACAGGCAGTAAACTTGGATATCAGTCTTCAGCACTATTTTTCTGGGTATGTCTCCTTAGGCAAAGGAAACAAAAGCAAAAATAAACTATTGGGACTAAACTAAAAAGCTTTTGCACAGCAAAGGAAACCATCAACAAAACAAAAAGGCAGTCTACTGAAGGAGAGAGGATATTTACAAATGATATATCCAGTAAGGATTAATACCCAATATATGAATAACTCACACAAATCAATGCCAAAAAAACCCCAAATAACCTGATTTAAAAATGGGCAGAAAACCTGAATAGACATTTTTCCAAAGAAGACAAGCAGACATATGAAAAGAGGCTCAATATCAATAATCAGGGAAATGCAAATCAAAACCACAGTAAGATATCACCTCACACCAGTCAGAATACCTAGTATCAAAAAGACAAGATTATGGGGCACTTCGCTGGCTCAGTAAGTACAGCATGCACTCTTGATCTCAGGGTTGTGAGTTCGAGCCCCACATTCAGTGTAGAGATTACTTAAAAATAAAATCTTGGGGCACCTAGGTGGCTCAGTTGGTTAAGTGTCTGCCTTTGGCTCAGGTCATGAGTATGGGGTCCCAGGATCAAGCCTGGGTCAGGCTCCCTGCTCAGCAGGGAGTCTGCTTCTTCCTCTCCCTCTGCCCCTCCCCCCACTTGTGTGCTCTCTCTCCCTATCTCAAATAAATAAAATCTTAAAAAATAAAATAAAAATCTTTTTTTTTTAAAGATTTTATTTATTTATTTGAGAGAGAGAGAATGAGAGATAGCACGAGAGGGAAGAGGGTCAGAGGGAGAAGCAGACTCCCCGCTGAGCAGGAAGCCCGATGTGGGACTCGATCCCGGAACTCCAGGATCATGACCTGAGCCGAAGGCAGTCGCTTAACCAACTGAGCCACCCAGGCGGTGGATACATGCATACATAATGCATGTAATTGCTTAATATAAATCTTTTTTTAGGGGCGCCTGGGTGGCTCAGTTGGTTAAGCGACTGCCTTCAGCTCAGGTCATGATCCTGGAGTCCCGGGATCGAGTCCCACATCGGGCTCCCTGCTCAGCGGGGAGTCTGCTTCTCCCTCTGACCCTCCCCCGTCTCATGCTCTCTCTCTCTCTATCTCATTCTCTCTCTCAAATAAATAAATAAAATCTTTAAAAAAAAAAAAATATATATAAATCTTTTTTTAAAGATTTTAAAATAAAATCTTTAAAAAAAAGACAAGAAATAACAAGCATCGGCAAGAATGTGGAGAAAAAGAAACCCCTATATACTGTTGGTGGGAATGTAAATGGGTGTAGTAACTCTGGAAAACAGTATGGAGATTCCTGAAAAAATTAAAAAACAGAAATACCATATGACCCAGTAATTCCACTTCTGGGTATTTACCTGAAGAAAACAAAAACACTAATTTGAAAAGATATATACACCCCTGTGTCTATTGTAGCATTATTTACAATAGCCAAGATGTGGAAGCAACCTAAGTTTCCATCGATAGGTGAATGGATAAAGATGGGGGGGGTTGTGTGTGTAATGAAATATTAGTCATTTAAAGAATGGAATGTTGCCAGTTTGTGACAACATGTGTGGACCTACAAGCTATTATACTAAGTGAAATAAGACAGAGAAAAACAAATACCGTATTATTTCATTTCTATGTGGAATCTAAGAAACAAATGAACAAACAAACAAAAAAAAAAGATTCATAAATACAGAGA